CCCCTCTCTCTCCCCCTCCCCCTCCCCCTCTCCCTCTCTCTCCATGCTTGTGGATCAGATGTAAGCTATTAGATACTGGTCCAGCAACAATGCCTCCCTGCCTCTTGCCATGATTTCTGCCAAGATGATCATGGATATTGTGGGATATTTGTGAACCCTGAGATTGCATTATTTAAGTAAAATCCACCATAGGTCGAGAGGCGGAGCAAGCAACCAGTTGATTGGAAGTAACCAGAGTGTGAAGGGAAGTCAGGAGGTTGGAGAAAGAGAGGCACAGGAGTAAAAAGGGGGGGGGGGACATCCAGTTCAGACAGACTAGGAGAGACTCTCTGAGACTATGGCTGAGGAGGAAGTTCAGCCAGCTGCTTTCTCAGATTCTCTGAGCTAGCAGGTTTTTACCCCGGCATCTGGCTCCCAAGTCTTTATTGGTAAAATAAAAGGACGGAGACTTAGTTAACACAACATTAGGGGGGCGGTTGAAGCAGCAGTGGGGTGTGAAGCCCCCCCCCCCCACCCCCCCCCCCCCCCCCCCCGCCCGTGGTCTTGAGGCAGTGTGGTAGTGCAGAGCAACAGCTATAAAAACAACACATGGACTTACCCTTTGAAGCTGTAAGCCCAGATAAACTTTCTTCAATGACTTGACTTGATCATGGTGTCTCCTCACAGCAAGAGAAAAGTAACTAAGACACACACACACACACACACACACGCACGCACGCACGCACGCACGCATACACGCATACACGCACACACAAAGTTTAAAATAATTTCTAAACTCCATATATGTGATAACGGTTATATGTGAGTGATTGTTTAATAATAACGCATAAAATTCAATTCTGTATCATTTGGTACTACAGTTACCCATCAACATTTCTTCTCAGAACATTGAGTGTATACATAGAACACTGGCTGAGGCAGTGTGGGGTATGGGGTTGAGAGAGGCATTTACAATGGCAAAACATTAGTCCTTGATTTTCCCTCAGTGTTTCCTGTCTGTCTGCAAATCCTTCCACACCACAAACCTAAGCTCTTACTCCTCTGCTCCTCAAATGTTCTGCTTATCTTTGCTTGTTAAAGATCGTCACCTTCCCAGGTACCAAGAATTCGCTGTCTCTCGCCTGTTCTCTGGGCTTCCTTTCTTTCCATATGTGCCAGCTGTAGCTTTATCATTTCTTTACGGCTAGCCTAACAATTGTTTGATTATTTGTACACACATGTAACCCTCTAGGGCCTTGGGGTGGGGAGCGAGGTAGGAGTGGTGTTGAAAGAACCATCTTTTAAGCACGAGTTGAATAACGTTGGTATTGATTAGAGGAAAAAGAATGAAGGACTGACAGAGAAAGATGGGACATTTAGAGAGAAACCACTACTTCCAATGGAAGGGAACAGCTACTGAGTTCGCGCTGTACAAGGGAA